CGCGCCGCCAGCCGCCGAGGCTGCAGCCTCCGAAGGGAGGCCAGGGGAACCGGGGTGCGGACTTTCCCGCGGACTTTCGGAGTGTTTGTGGATTTACATGCCCAGCCATCAAGATGATGTCCATGAACAGCAAGCAGCCTCACTTTGCCATGCATCCCACCCTCCCTGAACACAAGTACCCATCGCTGCACTCCAGCTCCGAGGCCATCCGGCGGGCCTGCCTGCCCACGCCGCCGGTAAGCGCCCCACGCCCGCGGTCCCAGCCCGCGCACTCGTCCCCTCCCCGTCTCCGAGACGCTGCATGTCGGGTACTGGTGTGTGCAAAGGTCCCGGTGCGGGGATTTGAGGGCAGGGATTTTTTTTTTTTTAAAAAAAGAGAAATCCCGTTGCTTGGTACATTTTGTACAGTGGCACTTAATGTCATGTTTCTGTCGCCCCTGCCTTCATGTCGGGCGCTTGCGATCAGAGTGGGGATCGGTGGGGCCAGCACTCTCGACTTTGCTCCACTGTCGCTGTTAATGTCACGCCTCGGAAAGGCGATCTCTGCGTGTTCGGTGCGCGACACGGGTCCCAGCTGCGAGTTACATCTCCGTTTCTTCTTTCCCTTCTCCTTTTTCGTCTCTCACTCTCTTTCCCGCAATGTGCTCCTGTGTTCTCCTCTCCCTACATCTCTTCTCCTCCCTACACTCTCGACCCTTCTCCTCCGTCCCCGGTCCCATCTCCAACACGTCCCCATTTCGTGTTTCCCGGTCTCCACTCTCCCCGCCCCTGTTGTTGTTATTTTGGTTGCTTTGTGTTTGTTCTTTGCTTGTTGTGCCGTCTGGTTTGTGTGTGGTTTTGTTTTGTTTTGCTTTTTTGGTTTTGTGGTTTTTTTGGTTTGGTTTGTGTCGCCTGCAGCTGCAGAGCAACCTCTTCGCCAGCCTCGACGAAACGCTGCTGGCGCGGGCCGAGGCGCTGGCGGCTGTGGACATCGCCGTGTCCCAGGGCAAGAGCCACCCGTTCAAGCCGGACGCCACGTACCACACGATGAACAGCGTGCCTTGCACGTCCACGTCCACCGTGCCGCTGGCGCACCACCACCACCACCACCACCACCACCAGGCGCTCGAGCCCGGGGACCTGCTGGACCATTCAGTACCCTTCAATCTGTTTGCGTTTTTAAGGAATTTCCTTAGAAAACCTAATAATACAAGGTAAAAGAGCTCAGAACACTCTGTAAATGCAGTTACT